GCCCAGGCTAGTCTTGAGATCCTGTGCTTAAGTAATCCTCTTGCCTTGTCCTCCCAAAGTGCTGGGATTACAGGTGTGAGTCACTATGCCTGACCCTTATATTTAACTTTTTAAGAAGGTGTCAAACAGTTTTCCATAGCATTAACACCATTTTACAATGCCACCAGCAATGTATGAGGGTCCCAATTTCTCTACATCACCAGTGCATGCACACACACAGGTACATATAATCATATATATAATGTATGTTCATATATTACATGGCTAATCATATATGTAATATATATTTGTATATGTTTGTGTGTATACATGCATTTGTGATGTAGAGAAATTGGAACCCTCATACATTGTTGGTAGATAAATTGTATATATATATATATATATATATATATATATATACACACACATACATATATATGTACACACACAAGACATTATATATATATGAGTATGTGTGTTTGTCTGTGTGTGTGTGTGTGTGTGTGTGTGTGTGTAGTAGCCATTCTAGTAGCTGTAAAGTGGTATGTATGTCATTGTGGTTTTGATTTGCATTTCCCTAATAACTAATGATTTTGAGCATCTTTTCACGTGCTTATTGCCCATGTAAATTTCATCATAGTTTTTAGTGTAAATTGAAAACCTGACCAGAACAGTAATGATTAAGGAGATTGAATCAGTATTCAAAACCCTTCCAATGAAAAAAAGGTCAGGGCCTGATAACTTCTCTGGGCCATTTCATCAAATGATTTATACTAATGCAAAATTATTTATACATTTTAAACAAATTCTATCAAAATTTCAAGGACAGTTTTTGCAGAAATAGAAAAAACAATCCTTGACTTTATATAGAACCACAAATGACCCCAAATAATAGTCATGACACTGTTGAGAAAACGAAATAAAGCTGGAGATGTCACACTGCTTGATTTTAAAATATGTTACAAAGCTACAGTGATTAAAAGAGTATGGGACTGGCATAAAAACAGACATGAGACATGTAGACAATGGAACAGAATAGAGAGCCCAGATCTAAATCCACACATATACAGTCAATGTTTGACAAGTGTGCCAAAAACACACAATGTGGAAAGGATAGTTTCTTAAAAAAATAGTGTTGGGAAAAGTGAATATCCACATAGAAATAAATGAAATTAGTTATATATTACACATACACAAAAACCATCTCAAAACAAATTAAATATGTAAACATAAAACCTGAATCTTTTTTAGAAGAAAACATGGAAGATGGCTTGTGATATTGGTCTTGGCAATAATTTCTTAGCTATGACACCAAAAGCACAGGTGCTAAAATAAAAAAAATAGACAAGTGGAATTACACCAAAATAAAAATCTTCTGACCAGCAAAGCAATCTATAAGGTGGAAAGGCAACCTATGGAATTGGAGAAACTATTTGTGAATTGTAAAACCCTGATAAAATATTAATCTTCAAAAAATATATGAAACTTCTACAGTTGAATAGTAGAAAACCAAAAATAAAAAAAAACTCAATTAAAAATGGGCAAAGGTTTTGACTATGCATTTCTCCAAAGAAAACACACAAATAACCAAGAAATATTTGAAAGTATCTTCAGCATCACAATCATCAGGAAATGCAGATCCAAGCAACAATGAGATATCACCTCTCATCTGTTGGGATGGCTATTATTAAAGAGCAAGAGAGTTTATTTTTACTATGCAAAAGCTGTTTAATTTAATTATGTCACACTTGTCAACTTTTGTTTTTGTTGCAATTGCTTTTGGTGTCTTCATCATTAATTCTTTGCCAGGGTCTATGTCCTAAGTGTTATTTCCTCGATTATATTCCAGATTTTTATAGTTTTAGGTTTTACATTTAAGTCTTTAATCCATCTTGAGTGGTTTTTAGTATATAATGTAAGGAAAGGATCTGGTTTCCATCTGCATATGACTAGCCAGTTATCCCAGCACCGACCCAGCATTCCCATTATTGGGTAAATACCCAAAGGAATACAAACTGTTTTTTACCATAAAGACATATGCGTGTGCATGCTCATTGTAGCATTATTTCTGATAGCAAATACCAGAATCAATCCAAATTCCCATTAACGTAGACTGGGTGAAGAAAATGTGGTACATATACACCATGGTATACTACACAGCCATAAAAACAGAGCAAGATCATGTCCTTTACAGCAATATGGGTGGTGGTCATTTTCCTAAGCTAACTAATGCGAGAACAGAAAACCAAATACCTTATGTTCTCACTTATAAGTGGTAGTTAAACATTGAGTAAACATGGACACAAAGAAGGGAACAACAGACACCAAGGCCTACTGGAGGGTGAAGGGTGGAAGGAGAGTGAGAATTGAGAAACTGCCTATTGAGTATTGTGTTTATTACCTGGGTGACAAAATTGTCTGTACACCAAACCCCCATAATATGCAATTTACCTGTATAACAAACGTGCAGGTGTACCTCTGAACCCAAAATAAAATAAAAAAAAAATAAAACATATTGCTCATGAGAATGTGTAGAAATTAGAACTCTTGTACACTCTTGGTGGGAATGTAAAACAGTGCAGCCATGGGGAAAAACAATAAAATGGAGCTATCATAAGATCCAGCCATCCCACTTCTGGGTATACATCCAAAAGAATTGAAACCAGGATCTCAAATTGATAGCTGCACTCTTGTGCTCATTGCATCACTGTTTATATAGCATGTATAAAATTAACTCTCTTCTTTCTCTGTCTCTCCATATAGCTATATCTACATATTTAGTTCTGGTCTATATCTATCTTATGGGCCAGTGTAGACCTAAGTAGTCTTCTAAATAGCCTGTTAAAAAAGAGACAAATAATATCAAAATAATTTTAATGGTTAATGATTGAGGTTGAATTTAATGAAAAAGTTCACCTTTTGTGAGTACATCATTTGATGCACTTTGCCAAATATATATAGTCATGCAATTCCACCACAATCAAGACAAAAAAAATTTTCAATATCTTGAAAAGATCCTTTAGGACACTTTTACAGCTAATCTCTTTGTATTTTCTGCCTCTGGAACTACTGATCAAATATTTGTTCCTGTAGTTTAGTCTTTTCCAGAATCATATAAATGAAACCATATAGTACTTTTATATGATTATAAATCATTTGTATCTGCTTCTTCCACTTATCATACCATTTTTAAGATTCTTGTTTTTTATGTAACAGTAGTTTATTTCATTATAGTGTAAATCAGTTTGAGATTGTCTGATATTGTCCTGAACAGTGAATTGCTGATGTTACTGTTAAATATCTCATTGATTTCCTAAATCACTTACAATACTCTTCGGGGATACCTTCTCTTCAGCTTTTATTTAAAGTAGCCCAGAGTGGTGCCTTTTATTGCCAATAATTAGTGCTCTTGTAACACTAATGTTCTTGTAACACTAATCCCTAGAGAAAAATTTGTCTTTGTTTTATTTCAGTAGATGCTCTTGAGTCTGAAGTAAGTAAAAATCAATAAAACTGCCGCATTTTGTAAATGTACAATTGGTAATACAATATCTCTTTCTTATAAGAGTTATCTTTCGTCAAATAATTTCTTGATTTTAATTTTCACTTCCCAATTTTATTTTATTTTAAAGAATATATATCTATCTAGTTTGAGGCTTCAAGCAATGGCAATCTCAATTGCAATGACACAATTTTGCAAGTTTAACTTATATGGAATGAAAGATAGAAGTCCATTAAAATTATCAATACCTAAGAGTCTCAGTCTTCATAGTGAGGATGAACTTGAGGAAATGTGGAAATTCTCTACAGAAACGCAATATGTACACATTGCCTCTCCCCACAAAAATCATTGGTAATAAATCTGCCTATTGGATAATAAAATATTGTCATAAATGAGTAAAATCATCATTAATTATGCTAGCATGTATCTGTTCCATGCACACAGAAAGAAATGAATAATAGATCCGAAAAGGTAAGTCAACTGTAATTTTAACTTAGTCTAAAATCAGAAATTAAGGCAAATGCACAGTAAGTGCAATTCAGGTAATTAAATTTGGCTACTGAAATTTTATGCTTTATAAATGTGTTTTATAGTACATTAATTTCATATTTATATACTAATAAGTAATCTATTTTATTCATATATGGTTGCATCAGTATAATGAAGTAGACTGACACATTTAAGATAACAGAAAAATAGTACAAACTGGGACTAAATAGAATTCTTATATATAGAAATGATAGAAAGGGAGTTTCAATAGTTTTATAAAGAATATGGAGGAAGTAAAAAAATAGCCAAAATTATGTAGCCACACTAATAAAATGACATTTCAAAAAGGGTAATTAAAAAGAAAACACAATTTTTAATTAAAATATATAACTTGCTTATTTTATCATGTTTTTATTTTCTTGTCCCATAAGCTGGTAAACAACTGTTCATTTGAATGTAGAAAAGAGCCAATAAAAAACTGTTAATAATATGGTGTATTCTCAGTGCGAAAAAAATTTCAAAACTAATGAAATGAAGATCTTTAACTATTTATTGGATCATTGATCAGCATAGAATTGTAATGTAAGCCTAAATCTTGGTTTTGATTCATTACCCTCATACTCATTATAAAAATACAAACTAACTTGCTATAACTTGTACAGATATGATAGACATAATAGAGAAATGTTTTAAAATATTAATATAATGTTGTTTAAATTACACATGGTGACTAGAGTTTGTCTGACAGTAGCAAGCTAAAATTCATATTTACCAAAAGTATATATTATTCAAGTTCTGGAAGATTTGTGAGGAATATTATAAAGAGAACTAGTAAATTAAAACAAATTTTGAATTTACCTATGGCATGTATGTCATCTGCAAATTCAGTCTGGAGAAACTGTTTGCACATGGATAAATTTAAATATATATATATATATATATTTTGCTTTATGAATACATATATGTATGTATATGTATACATTTTGTTTTTCCCTTTCTATGAAGATTTGATAAAGATTACAAAAAAGAAATGAAGAACCAATCGATGGAAATAGAGTTCATTCTTTTAGGACTGACAGATAACCCACAGTTGCAAATTGCGATTTTCCTGTTTCTATTTCTCAACTATACCTTGAGCCTGATGGGGAACTTAGTCATCATCATCCTCACCTTGCTGGATCCTAGGCTCAAGACTCCAATGTATTTCTTTCTCCATAATTTCTCCTTTTTGGAAATAATATTCACAACAGTGTGCATTCCTAGATTCTTGATAACCATTGTGACTAGAGACAGAACCATTTCTTATAATAATTGTGTAACTCAATTATTTTTTATTCGTTTACCGGGAGTTACTGAGTTTTACCCCCTGGCTGCCATGTCCTATGATTGCTGTGTTGCCATCTGCAAACCACTGCCTTATCCAATCATTATGAGCAGCTAAGTGTGCGACCAACTTGTACTCAGCTCTTGGATAACTGGACTCTTAATCATATTTCCCCCATGGGTCATGGGACTCAAGCTGGATTTCTGTGCTTCCAAAACTATTGACCATTTTATGTGTGAAACTTCTCCTATTCTTCAGATCTCCTGCACAGATACACATGTCCTAGAATTGATGTCTTTTATTCTAGCTGTGGTGACACTTGTGATCACATTGGTATTAGTGATTCTCTCTTACACTTGCCTTATTAAGACCATTCTAAAATTCTCTTCTGCACAGCAAAGGAGCAAGGCATTTTCCACCTGCACTTCCCACATGATTGTTGTCTCCATGACATATGGTAGCTGTATCTTTATGTATATTAAACCATCTGCAAAGGAAAGAGTGACTGTATCCAAAGGTGTAGCTTTGTTGTATACCTCAATTGCCCGTTTACTAAATCCCTTCATTTATACTCTCAGAAACCAGCAGGTAAAAGAGGTCTTCTGGGATATATTACAAAAGAATTTGTGTTTTTCTAAAAGACCATTTTAAGAATCTGCTACAAGTTACAACTTTACCATAAAATCTGGAAAACATGTTTTATACATTTATTTTGATCATGTTTTCCTACCTGATCAGTTATCTCATATAGGATGGTCTCTTGAAGAACTTGATAGCTCAGTTCCACTCTTACATTATATTCTTTCTCATGAAATGTTTCACATTACTACAATAACTTTCTTTGATTCTTTAACCCAACTTTTAAATAGAATCTCTTTATAGCATATCAGTTTCCAGAAACCATGATTTTGAATAAAATATGACTTGTATAAATGTAATTTGGTGTATGTAATTCGATAACTATTCACCATATATTTATTGTAATCTATGTTATTACAGACAGTGTGAAGGGTTCAATCACTACCTTTAAGAAGATTTCATGTTTTAAAGGTCACAAACACATAAACAAAATACAATCATGCATTACTTAACAATGGGGATACTTTGAGAAATGTATCGCTAGGCAATCTGTTGTACAAACATACAAGGGTACTTACAGAAACCTGGGTGGTATAGCTTACTACACATCTATGCCATATATTGTAGCCCATTGTTTCTAGGCGGCAAATCTGTACAGCATGTTACTGTACTAAATACTGTAGGCAATTGAACACAATGGTAAGTATTTATACATCTAAACATACCTAAATACAGAAAAGGTACAGTAAAAATATGGTATTATAATATTATGGGGCCATCGTTGTACATGTGATCTGTCATTGACCAAAATGTTATTATGTGGCGCATGACTGTATTGACATAACAGTGTGGAATTAGTGTTGTAATAAAGGGCTACAAAAGCATTTATGGGGCAGAAAGGATGGCTTCCATGAAATTTTGTAGATAAGGGAGGCCTTTCAGGAGAAAGTAATAATTATTCTAAGACTAAAAATATGCATAAGGAAAGGTGACTGAGAAACAAATATATGTAAATAACACAGAAGTATTAGATAACCACATGCATTTGGAGAATTAGTATATCTCCATTAGAAAATACCTTCAAGTTATTCATTTAAGTTCAGTAAAAGCTTTGCTACACACTCTGGAACACTGTGCAGATCATGCACCCTTTTTATGCCTTAGTTTCTTCATATGTAAAGTGGGAAAAATGAAACCCATACTTCATTGCTCAGTGAATATATGCTATTAGAACTATTTACCATTCAATAAAAGATAGCACTTACAGTTTTGAACAATTCAAGAATGTGGTACAACTAATATTTTTGATGTGCTGATGAAAGTAAAGTCAACAATAAGTTTGGGGAGGTTGAAGGGTAAAAGCATAAAGGGCCCTGTTTGCCAGAATAGTATTTCGGACTTAAATTTGTCATATCAGTAATTTTCAAAGGTTCGGTTTTTCAAGAATCACCCAGATCAGGGGTGTCCAATCTCTTGACATACCTGGGTCACTCTAGAAGAATTATCTTGGGCCACACATAAAACACACTGACACTAATGATAGCTGATGAAGTTTTAAAAAATCGCAAAACCATCTCGTAATATTCTAAGAAAGTTTACAAACTGGTGTAGGGCCACATTCAAAGCTGTCCTGTGTCAAATATGGCCCATGACTGTGTTGGACAATCTTGACCTAGATAGTTTTGTAAATGTATTTTTGAGTTATCATTCTTACTGCTTCTGAGTCAATATTTTTGAGATAGAGTTAACGTAGCCTTTGTTTAATATGAACCCCAGGTTATCGTAGATAACCTCTATGTTAAATGTCAAGTAAAGACTACAATTTCATTGACACTTCCAACTAGAGAGAAATCATTGAAAATTTATTTAAGATGAAAAATTTAATGTTAATCTTTTGTTTTTAGGGAGATTACTCTTGGAAATGGTATGGATATAGGCTGTGTTATTATCAGGGAGCAGGCGAGGGGACCTTTGCTTTAAACTATTTATAAATTTTAAATCTTAGTGTATAAATGTGACAGTGGGTCTAGGATCCAGGTAAAGAGTCAAAGATATTTAGAAGAAAGAAGAGATTTTAATAAGTTTTTGAGTTGTGAGAATAATTGAATGTGTGAGATTGGGCTTAATTTTCCAGTTTTACTTCCAGCACATATACAGTAAATGATTTTAAGGAAGTGTTCTATAATCATCTAATAAAAAGTTTCAGGCACACAGAAATCACTGAAATGAATAGTTATCCAAAGATCCAGATTTCACAAACAAATAGAGAGTCTAGTTGAATCAAGATGAAACAAGACACAGATAATTTAGGATGATTTATTATTGTTGTAATTATTATCTGCTGCATTTCTGGCTTGATAGATATGGCTTAGATTTCATTTCATTTCTTTTTTGATTTTTACAGTTTCTTAAGTCATCCACTTATCCCATGGGAAAATGTTCCAATGCCATATTTTACCCTCAGCCTCTCATATTCCCTCTTCCATACGGACTTTCTCCCCTCCTATCAGTAAAATTTTCTAGGGTGCTAGTTTAATGTTAAAAAAATCTATATGGATGCAAGCCTTTAAAATACTTACCTGATTTCATACGTTATTTTATATAAGCATTGGGAATTGTGCCACAGGTCTGTAAGTAGTAATTAATTATAAATGCTCCAGATTTTTATTTTTATTTTATTTTTTATTTTTTTTTAAATTTTTTATTGGATTTTAGGTTTTGGGGTACATGAGCAGAGCATGCAAGACAGTTGCATAGGTACACACATGGCAGTGTGCTTTGCCTCCCTTCTCCCCTTCACCCAGATTTTTATTTTTAAATATTTTATTAACTACTGTAACATAATAATCAGAGCTTCCTGCTTCTCAGTCCTCAAATCTTTGAAGTCTTTCTCTACCACATAGAATCTTTACTCTGTTTAAGTGAGAACCTTGAATGCTATTGTTGTCGTATCTCAGGCCATGGGATTTCATCCACTTTCCCAGTAACTCTATCAAGGAGTATTCCCTGGTTAAATTGATTAGGAGAGTTATATTTTCACGTCCTTAGTAAATTTGCTCACCACTGTACATTTTCAAGTGGACTTTGCAACACTATATTCCAAATATCAAAAGAGAATTGCATGAGATCTCAGATCTATCATTATTTTGACCTTTGTCACTCCACAGTATATAGAAATTCTGACAATTGCATTTTGCTTTTGAATTGAGAGAATGCTTTCATGTCCTCCAGAGAAACAATTTGCCCACAAGTTTTAATCTTCTTATTACATTCATGTATCTGGATAAAAAAGTGTAGGGAGAGATAAGGAGGGAGGGAGAGAGGAAGATAGTGAGAGAGACACACACACAGAGGGAGAGAGAGAGAGAAATTTGATCCCAACTAAATGAGATTTTTTCCAGAAATTCTGAAACAACCTAATTCTAACAGGCATTAATTCTTCTCATTCTTTAAACAAATCTCATCTCCACTTTCTGAAACCCTATAATATATCTTCATAATATAAAATTATAGTATCTTTGATTTTCAGTATGAAAATATCCTTTCACGTATTCATTTATCTCTGAGGAAACTCAGGCCTCATGATCTGAGATAACTTTCCTCAGATGATGTAATTGGTTAATGACATAAGGCTTTCATCCCCAGGACCATCACTGTGTCTTCATTTCCATCACCATCTTCATCTTCTTTGTCATTGTCATCATTATTGTGATCTCATAACTGAGACATTCAAATGTGTGAACAGAACTGATTTATATTTCTTATTGACATAAAAATGTTGTTATCATCTTTATTCATTCTTTGGTTTCATGTATGTAGACAAAAGCAAGCAAAAGCTATTCCTGTTTATCACAATACTATATTAAATCTTAATTTATGTTCAATTCTTTTATTCTACCGTGCAGTTTTAATAATGCATTGCTATCAAATTATGAAGTGATAGTTATAACATCTTAATCATATAGATAATGACATTTAATAAATTATTTTTATGGCTCTGTTTCAATTACAGAATCAAACTGGCATCTTGAAAATTAAAGAAAAAATTAAATGTTCAATTGTAACATTTCTAATGATTCCAAACATAACTTTTCCATATAACAAATTATCAGTTTTGAAAGGGAATGAGCATTGTACAATATCATAATTGTTGAGAATGAAAGCATTAATTGCAGATCTGTAACTCTCTCTATCCTTGGTGATGTATGAGGTAGTTTTGATTTAGATTAGACCTTGCAAATGCTCAGATAGAATTTACTAGTTGAAAGACAACCAAGACTTTAGGGGCTCTACAGATTACATGCTTGTATAAGTTTGAAAATGCTTTTAGCTGAAAAAACCGTGTGTGTAGATTGAAGTTTCTCATCATAATGCTATGGACATTTTCTTGTTTTATTTGCTGTCTTTCAACTAGTGATGCCGACAAAACAAAATGACTGTGTACAAAATTATCAAGCACCATTCATATCCCATACTATATATAAAACGTAATCCAAGTGAGTCATAGATATTCAAATAAGCATACAGGTATAAATACCCCCGAAAAAGAAATAAGAGAAAATACTTCTGACCTTGGGCAAGGTGAAAAGCATGATTTATAAAAATTCATCTGCTCTTCAAAAGACATTGCTTTGTGAATGAAAAGATAAGCTACAGGCTAGGAAAAATATTTGCAAATCACATATCTGAAAAAGAACATGTATCTAGAATACATTAAAAATGTAAAAAAATAACAGTAACCATTTTTAAAAACATAAAAATGGGCAAATATTTAAGTAGTAAATTTACCAAATAAAATATCAAATAGAAAAGAAGCAAAAGTGGGCAAAGGACATGAACAGACACTTCCCAGAAGAAGAATATATGCAGCCAACAAGCATAGGAACGTCACTGATTATTAGAAAAACGCAAATAAAAACCACAATGAGATGCCGTCTTTCACCAGTCAGAATGGCTATTACCAAAAAGTCAGAAAATAACAGATGCTGGCAAGGTTGCGGAGAAAAAAGGAACACTTATACACAGTTAGTGGGAGTGTAAATTAGTTCAATCATTGTGGAAGACAGTGTGGT